GCATAGAGCCCCCCCCCCCCCCCTCCCCTATGACCCAAAAGGTGTCCGCGAAAACGGTGTCGAAGCCCAACATCGTAGTGCCCTCCAGTCTGCACACTTCGGCCGCCAGATCTCCAACCACTGACTATTGTAGCATGCTTGGTGCTTGCGGGAAATCGCAGACTAGTCGTCGTCCCAGGAATCCTCGACGGTGTGGTGTGGGGCACTCAAGCCCTTCCTTGCCTTGTGAGATCAATGCACCGGACGTGTTGGTCTGCTGAAATTTCGGCAGGCTGTGGCTGTCACGGCGTCGTGTTCCGCTGTCGGCTCTACACTGTACATTCATTCGTTGTCCTGCACGAGACTTGAGAGTACGAGGCCGTGGGTGTGGTGCGGGGTAGTCAGTGTTGGGAACCGTGCCTTATGGTGGTACGGCCGCCGTCGTCACGCCCGAACTTGAAGCATGGATGTCTTTGTCCTTCGTTTGCTGCGGTTCTTTCGTTACAACGGAGGAACTTGGACTCCACCCTACAATTGTGTACCGCTGGACCAATGTTCTCTTCTTGGTCTAGTCACACGAGGACATGAATACAAGTATACCGTGAGGGTTGCCGAAGACAACGAAGGAGCCTCTCTTACCGTCCTACATATGCTTTTGTCTCATGTCCGCTTCTTTGCAGCTCGGCCTTCAGTACAATCACGCGTGCTCTTCGATTTGTCGATAGTAGAAAACCCTTTTTCTATCCATTTTTAGGTACCCTAAGTTGGCCTGTGACCTCGGGGACCTACCGCGTCAAGTGTTAGATCGGTACAGACAGAGGGCGGTCTGGATCGAGAGATCGGAACGGTTTTTAACCTGAAGCCAACAACAACAACAACAATCCGCGACAATCTAATCTAATCCTTGATCCCCCGCCCGTCCCGATTCCCTTCATCCCCTCCCCCCCCCCGCTCTCTGTGCCAGTCACCCTTGGTAGGTGGAACCGGGTACATTGTTGGTTCCTGTTCCTCTCTGGGGCCGGCACGCGAGCGATGATGATTCAAAGCAGTAAAGGTCGGCACATCTCGTAACTAAACCTGTCGAAAAGCGGTTGATGCCTGATGCGCTTCCAGTTCGGGGGAGGCCGGAGTGAGATAGTGTAGAGGAGACTACCCAGAATATGTGGATGTCTCTGAGAGGTCCATATAGCGCGATGGGGGTAGTGTTTCGATTGTGCGCCCTCCCCTCTCGCACCTTTCGGCGTTGGCATGAACAACTTGTGAAACGGCTGTGAAGCCGGGAGCTGAAGCTTGGCAGTATCTAGTTGGGTTAACCTAGGATGGTAAGATAGGTGAAGTTCACGCAACAGGCTAGACTGCAAAGTGTGTGGCGACGATCGGTTACACCGAGGACGGCTTTGCGTGCGTCATGTCCAGCCCATTTCTCGTGTGCGTGTGGCGTGACGCCTGCTGACTGCGTTGACTTATGTTTCGTCTTTGCTGCTTCTTCAAGACGTCGTCCTCGTATGACCTCGTATATGTGCTCCACCCTCTTAACCACCAATTAGATGCACTCCCGCTGTCCCTATTCCTCGACGGCAAACAAGCAAGCTGTCGTTGTTGTGATCTTTCTCTCACAGGGAGATGGAGTCGTGGCATCACCGAATTCTAAGTCGTGCTCCAGTTAAGAGTCTCGTTTTTTCGGGTGTTGAGCATCCACAAGCTTCCAGCCGTATAGATGGTGTACCAAAGCAAAGGTGGTGGTTTCGTGGTTTCGACACCATGAGCGGAACCAGGAGCAGATGAACGAGAGCCTCGATTAAACTGCTTGCTCCTTGTCCCGACAGCAAGGGAGATCAAAAGTCCTCACGAGCTTGCAGCTGCATTTGACCGAACCTGCCAAGAATGATTTTCGCACGTAACCACTCTTTTTTGTGCCGATTTTCCTGCTCTGATGCAAAGTACCGGGGATGACACCGCTCGTTGTTAGTAAACTTGATCGACTTAATAAGTCGCGAGGGAATCGATTGCTGTACCCTTCTCGCGATAAAAATATCTCAGGCAGGAACCGCAGGAGGGGGTCCAGCCCCCTCTCCGGCGTGAGATTCAAAATGGATCGGGAGGGGGAGGGGGTGTTCGTTGCTTGAAGTGGATCAATCTAAGATAGAGCCATCAAAGCAAAGCCTTTTACTCACGTCGAGCAAGCTGAACGACCAGACCAACCACGCAAAAACTGCAGAGCTAGATGTGCGGCACGCACAATGCATTGTTTTCGATTGGAGAGAGGCGAGTATAAAGCAGTAAGGAATTGTTGGCCAAACTTTCGGCAGATAGGTCTACTCGGGAGCGTAAGTGGGGTAGCAACCCATGGTGGAGCGTACATGAGAAGCTGGACGTTGGTGTACGCCCCATCCCGGCGTGTGAGTAGGATCTTAGGCTATGCAAGTCGTCCCTGAACTTGTTGTGGTGAAAATTACCTCCCAGGAGGAAAGTAGCCTGTACCGCGGGATTTCGGAGATGATAAA